ATTGAAAAAAAGTCCGAGTTCGTACTCCAAAATTTCGAGTACGTACTCTTAGGAGTACGCAGGGTTCGAAATTCACTATATACAACTCGCAAAATGCGAGTTAGAATTTCCAAATTGCGAGTTGAAAAATTTGTAACTCGCAATTTTATGCGAGTTGATTTTTTTCACTGTAAATTTCACCATGGGAAAAATTTATCTGACATCCCTCATTTTTAAACCCATGTCCGACAACCTGAGTGAGTGAGGCCTAAAAAAATCGACTGATCTTTTCAAATTACTTCCAGGTGGGTTTTTTTCTCCCAATCTGCGTGGTTTGATCAATCAGCTGATCCATTTATTAAAAAAAAAATATTAATTTTAGCTTAACTTGAGACATATAAAATATGTCAACCTAGTTAACATTTACCTTGAATATAAAGAATAATCATAATGTATTATTGTAACAACAATTTCCCCCCACAACTTTGAAAGTTCGTTTTTTGTGGCTAGGCAGTCATGTTGGTTGCCATATTAGGTGTCCACTGTAAATAGGTAACGGGATGTTTCGCGCCGATGCATGGTTCGCACCGCGATGTTTCGCGCCTATTCTGTTTCGCGCTGAGATGGTTCGCCCCACGATGTTTCGCTCCCAGAACATTAAATTTATGCTATTTATTTCGTTCGTTTTGAAAAAATAAATAAATAAAAATTTATCATGTCTGTTAAAATTGATGTAAGTATCGAAATTTTGTTGAATATTTATTAATATTTTGATTGTAGAAGTTTATTTGAAGTATTTAGTCTAATTGTTTATTATTTTTACACTGATAATTATGTTCATATAGTAGTTACTTTAGCTTACCGCCATCTAATTAAGTAATTCCGTAATTTTTGCCATATTGGGGAACCTATCCTGTCTATGCACCTATTTAAAAAGTTGGTGATCTAGATTGTATGAATCAAATGTCCCTTTTGCATATGCATAAATGCTGAAAACTTTTAATTCTTTCAAATTTTATTTCAGCATTTCAATGTTTAAATATTTTATTGATTTGTTTAAGGTAGGACCAAATAGATAGGTCAAATTTTTCCTCAAATTCAATTTTTCTGAAACTTTGATATTTTGTTCTTGGATACAAAATATCTCTTTTTATATAATATGAAAGAAATTCAACCGCACATTTTTTGCCCACGTAGTCTGAAATATGGCTTATCAGACCCCTGTAAGAAGATTGTGAAATCGAAAATTCGACTTAAGAATGAGCCTTATTTTAGAATTTTCTATTGATCTTTTGCAAATTTTTGTAATACTTTTAATAAAGATAACCTTTTTGTTACTTTATATTAGAGAGTCACATTGATAATGGAAAATTTGGATAAAATATGAAGTAAAATAGAACATACATTGTGTCAGAAACTAAAAATTCACGTGTAAATATCCGACAGTTTAAGTTTTCGTAAGAGAAAATGTATAATTAAATTTTTACAAAAAATCAACAGAATGATTCACATGGGTCTTAGAATAAAATGTGTAAAAATAAAGAAAATTGAACCGGTGGTTTCAGATATTTTGGCGATTAATAAAAATTCGATGGCAAAAAAACTAAAAGATTCAGTAGATGACGTCACAATATTTGACCTTTGACCTCGTGATATGACCTTGACCTTTGTAGTACATAAAGAATGGAGACTCCTTATATATGTGTCAAAATATCACCCCTCTACTGTTTATGGAACAAAAGTTGCACTGCATTTTATAACACACTGTTACATGCTTGTTTATTGCACTTAAATAGCGTAAACTCATTCCAAAATGTAAGCTCCCAAGTGACCAACATATAGAATTCTCTGATTTTTTCACAAAATATAAAGCAAATATGCCAAAACTTATTATTTTTCTTTTAGGTATCGTTTATTGTTGTTGATAAAGTAATATTATTCTTTTTTCCTCCAGTACTTCTTAAGAAATGGGTTGAAATAGAATCCACGGGTGTTTTGTCCTACCTTAAATGAAAACAATTAGGTTTTTGAATGAAAATTGATTTCTGACTCCTGTGAACATTAAATTATTGGTAAAATAAAAATGTATACAGTTAGGGGGTTGTCATCTTTTTTTTGGAACATAATATTGATTAATAAAACTGATTGTAAAATTGATACTAGATGCTGTCATGAGACAGTAATACCCGCACTAATGTGTTTGCCTCTAAATACACAATCCTACGGGCGGCTTACCAAGGAAAAAGTCAAAATAATTCTATATAATTCAGGCACGTAGCATCATTTTTGAAAGGGGGGGGGGCAACCTGACGGACGGACATGAGTAACAACAGTATACCCGAACTTTCTTTAGAAGGTGCGGGTATAAAAATCAGATTCATGTATCATGTAAAATCAGAAAAAACAATTGGCCATTTATAAAGCCAAGTTTATCGACTAAGAAAATATGTTTAGCTCATTAAATTTTACAATCAAACTTCCTGGTGGATTATTCTATACACAAGTTCTCATAAACACAAATTATATTTTTTCAAGTTCACGCAGATAATTGTCGTAAGACTTTATAATTGCTGTAATAAATTAATTCTCACCTTTTGATCTCCAACTAATTACAACCAAATAGCTGAACACACACGCTGAGCAAACGGGCGCCATATCAACATTTAGGATCCGTTACCTGTGGCACCGCATATTATAAAGTCATGATTCTGAGCATACAACACTTATTTATATCTAAGATTTAATAAATGGTCTTAAATTATTACAAAATAAATGAAATATTAAAAAAAGAGGGGAGATGTTTCGCACCAAAATCGGCGCGAATCATGCGGGCGCGAAACATCGCAGTGCGAAACAGAATCGGTGCGAAACATCCCGGATTCCTGTAAATATAACACCTGGTTTATTCAGTCCGGGGATGTTTGGATCTACACATGTATTAATCATATTAAGGAAAAAAAATCTTGACCTTCTGAACAATGATTTTTGGGAAATGTTACAGGAAACAAACATATTTTTTTTTAAACCTCATGTAGAAAATTTTGAATTTTTTTTAAATGGATGGATGGTGATTTATTTCGAGAAAGCTTTTATTTTAAAATTGCGAGTTGTCTTTTGAAATTGCGAGTTCATATTTTTGTAACTCGCAATAGGACTCATTCGTCATATTTGTGACGTCAGGTGTCGCTGGTGTACTAGAGGTGGTTACGTAAACGCTTTAATCACCGCGGCGCTTGTAACAATGTAAACAAATGGACGTGTTCTCGAACTTGGAGCTAAACCATGCTAAACGGAGGGGCTGAATCGATCTTTAATCGAGCTGTCACAACCGGGAAAAAGGGTTATCCGAATCTTGGGTAATTATTTTTTGTAAATAATATACATTTATGGAAACCTTCTAAGAATTATCGAGTGTAACATGCCTATATATGAGGAAGACAATTGCAATCTAATTAAAATCAGACTTCTTAGATCCGCGCCGTATACACTCTGCATCATGACGAGAAATTATTTTAGTCAAGGGCAAACAACCTGTATTGTGACGTTACCTATTTTCGATAGTATCCTAATTTCGACACCTCACGCAGAGTGTATACGGCGCGGATCTAAGAAGTCTGATTTTAATTAGATTGATGAGGAAGATAGTACAACGACAAAGATAGTACAACGACAAAGCATTGAGTTTACAATCGACATTTTTGTAGATTGTCGGATTTATTATCATCTTTATCACTTACACAAACACTAGATTCAAATGAAATTAGTATATGATATGAATTCTTATGGCTATATTATGTTATTTATTCCTTTTTACATGACAATCATCGCACAGCTAGGTTATGTAGGTCTACACTGGTTATATACTGTTGCATTTCGTTGTTGTTGTTTAAAAGAGCAACGTCCCAAATGATCATCAAGGGTAATTAAGTGCAACGTTATATTCATTGCAAGGCAAATACAAACTAAACATTCATTTTATTTGAACAGATTACAAAAAAAAAAAATAATAATAATAATAATAACAAAACTGGAACAAATACAAACATCATATTTCAACCCTCACCAAAAGACTCTCCAGATCCTACACAAAGATAAATTAAGTGGCCGTTCATTGATACTGGATAAAGATAACTGATTAGCCTCATATTGTTGTTTTTTAAATAAAAAAAAAAAATTGAGACTGGTACTTTTACTTTGATGTAAGTCGCTCACATTTCACAGTGGTTAGAGTGTCTGTCCTGTCTACAGTCGTCAAATCTAAGAGCTGAACCTAATGTCGACGGTTCAAATCCACTGTGTTACATGGAGAGATGAGACCGTATAAACCGTGGTCCTGTTTGCACAAAAAAGATCCATCACTGCTCAATGGCCCACAGTGCCAAGAATAGGTATATTTGCAGTCCGCCATCAGCAAATGATGGTGTCTCCATATGAGTAAAGAATTCTTAAGAGGGACATTAAACAACAAACAAACATAGATTTAATATGTGCCCTTATACTTTATTGTGCATATGTATAATTTGAAACTTATTTGTTCTGTACATATTTTTTCATAGTCAGTAGCTACATGTATACTTAGACACCTTTGTTATAATTAAGGTAAAAATGAGTACCAATATTTTAAAGTTATAATTTGCTAGATCCATTTTATACAGTACCGGTATTTGTGTTTCTATAATGTGACCCTCAACAACTTAGTTTACATTTACAATTTCATTACCGGGTAAATCGAAAAGATATACCCAGTAATTAAATAAAACCTGCTGCATGTAAAAATAAATAAAAGGAATATATATATACATGTAGTAGCTGTTATTGTACAACTAAATACAAAAAAACATAATTTTACAGTCCTCTGAAAAAAAGAATTTATTATCAGGACTATGGATAGACCTCACTTACAAACTGACTTTCTATTTGTTTCTAAATAAAAACCTATACTGAGTAAATTGGGTTATTTTTTAATTATTTAAGAATAAATATTTTTTTCATTTTATTTTATTTAGGAGATCAGCAGGTAAAATAAGATGTCAAAGCTTACAGGAAGCTTTATTATGGCTGGATGGTACATGTAACATAAAAATTCTATTTTTCCCCGTCCTCATGAAATGGCATCCATCCTATTGTCAGTGCTGCCAGGAAAAAAAAAGAACTGGTATGTAATCGCATTTGTCATTGTGTTTTTTTTTAAATGAAAGAAAGTATACTGATAATTTATACATAAGCAATACTTCAATGCTTCCAATTTTAATTCTAAAAAAAAATGAATTTCCTTTTATTAACATTAGGTGTATTACAACCTAAGACAAAGTGTTGAGATGTTTGGCAGTCCTATACATTCACAGAGAAAATGTTCTGCTGGAAATATGGGGCAACATTCAGCCTGTACACACACAGACTAGTTATGCTCATGCTTGGCAAATTCTCTAATAGATGGACTACAATAATCTTGTATGCAGTATCTTCAAGCTTTTCGAAAACTTACAATTACAATAGTAAGGATTCCATTTTAATTTGAAAAGTAGTTCAATTTTATTTATAAATTAAAAATATTTAAAGACAGTTTATTTTACCGAAAAACAAGTACAGTCATGATAATGCTATTACATGTACTCTATACTAATAATTGCTACTCATTCTTATTTGAAGGGATTCCACCAAAAACTGAAAGAGAAAAGAAGCTGATGTACTCAAGCAATCCCTGGCAAGAGAAATTAATTTGTGAAATGAAAGAATGCACAGACTTAAACATTTTAATATTTTTTTGTACAAAAATTGACATTGAAAGGAATTTACTGTATGTGTAGTTAAAATAGCGGGCTTCATATTTCATCTACTTTTGCACGAATTAACGAGGTGCCATTGTAGTACAAAATTAATTTAGGTTGGATAAGAGTTGTTCTCTGACAAAAAATTGGTACAAGTTAACCACAATCCGTGTCCCAGTTACAATCATCGATCCTTTTCATATCCGGAACCACCAGCATCGCGTTGAGACACATAAAAAGACAAATATATTCAGAAAAGAAGAGGATGTGCTAATATTCATGAATACACTAAGAATTCATTTATAAATAGAATATACGACACAAATATTTGTAACGCTAATTCATGATTATGCCAACAACTCCATATTTATTGATTGCGCTAAATTTTGAAAGTGCTAAATTATGTACATGTACAGTATCTTTCCCTAGCTTGAACTTTTCTCTGTTAAGGATTTTGCTTATTTTATTCATGGCTGTAAATAAATAAAATAAATAAAACGATAAAGATTGTATTAAATATTTATACATGTTTATTCCTTTCATACTTAAATTTGAGCAGTTAGGTACAATGTTCTTGTAAACCAATGTTCGTGGATTTGACGAGTCTCTCTTGCCCATGGATTTTGTTAACATATTGATTGAATCTACATTATCAATGAGTTATAATCCACAAAATTACATACCCATGAACGATTTTTCTTGTCCATGAACATTGAACCCCACAAATTAACATGACTAAAAAGATTCCACAGAATTCATAAAACATGTACTATCATTTTTAATTCTTTTTCAAAGCAAGCAAAAATAATTTTTTAAAAAATTTTCTAGAAATTAAACATGTGTCAAAAATTCTTAAAACTATGTACTTGTGTTCTGAAAGAAGTAAGTGTGGTATATTACAAATATTTGCCCCCTTTCATATTTCAACAATATTTATAATAGAAGATGAACATGAGTCTACCTTTTCAATTATAACTTTATTTTATTGTTCTGATGCCCCCGTTGCCTAGCAACCACCCACGAAAAAGCAATGTTGAAAGCTCTTGGATTTAATATTTAACTGTTTTGGGAAATAATAACCAACAACAATATTTTCATTTTAGCTTTATAATGATCATATGTACTGAAAATTCCTAAACATTGCATTAACAAATTTATTTTGATGGGAAAACACCATAGCAACCACTCAAACATATCTTAGCAACCAGTTTATTTACTATAGCAACCAATATGAGTATGAAGTGAAGAAGTCAATACATGTCATATATTCATTAGCATTAAAGTTAATTGAAGTACTATTTATATCTAAGCTTCTATTTCACTGGTAATGCAAAACAAAATATTTCCTAGCAATGCTTAATAATTCCATGGCAACCACTTACTATTTCAGACATTAAAATATTTTAAAGAGCCACATTTTATACATAAAAAATATTGCACTTTTACATACAGTGCATCCCTATGGCACACATCAACAAAGATTCAATCCAAACTTTGTATATCAGAAAAGCTTCCTCAAAAAATATTTTCAGGTTTTAGGATGTTATGGATGTATGGTTACCTTGGCAACAAGTCTCAAATTTGGAAAAAAAATAATATTTGATCATTTTGAAATCTTATCGCACATTTTTATGGTCTAACAGGGAACAATGGTCTTTGCTGAAACACAAGTTTAAGGCTTCATATTTCATATTTATGGAAAAGTCAATAGGGTATAATCCTATTTTCTGGTGTTGCCATGGAAACAAAACAAAAAACAAAAATTAGCAATTTTACAATCTGACTTTTTTAAATCTTCAGATTAATAGTACATACATTACAGTTGCTATGGAAATGGAATCAAAAATGAAGATAAGCAATTGTTTTGTGGCTAGCATTTACACTGAATCATGCCATTGCCTAAAATCATTTCTAGGTTTAAAAGGTTATGACTAATAAAGAACAGTTTCAAAAAATGAGGAAGAGGTAATTAAAACATATACATGCATACAGGTAGCCTTACTTTGAAAATAAGATGAGTAGAATGTAAGAGATAGTTCATATTTTGCAATGCATATATGATCATGTAAAATATTCCATTGTCTTCAACAGTGTAGACATGTCACTCCTACACACACACACACACACACACACACACACACACACACACACACACACACACACACATATATATATATATATATATATATATATATATATATATATATATATATATATATATATATATATATATATATTAACAATTACATATAATCATATCTCAAACAGACCTGTATGAAGGGTTTAACTTGTTTAAGGTTAAAGCTTATTTACTATCAATATCAGATTATTTGACAGTTAGAGACTGATTTGTCTCCCACCGATAAAAATCATCACATTTTACATGAAAATATCATTTTATGTATTATTGTGTATATCATTACAGACATTATACTAGTATCTTAATAATTTTATTTCAGCATAACTGATTCTTAACATATGTTTCCCTCTAAATTGTTTATCATTGTTACCCCATGTTTCCACCTTGAACATACCAGCAAAGGCAAATTCATATAAATTAAATGTAAAAAAAACCATCAAAGATATAACTATCCAATCAAATCTACACTGATTGCTGAAGCAAACATAAAATGTAATACATATATCATTTGAGATGAATTTCCTTTGAAAGATCTATTTAATCCTTAAGGTACTCCGATCCTTAGATTCTGAAAATCAGGCATTGACTAATTGAACAAACTTACAAAAATGTGTCTGAATTCTTAAAGTAACATATTTTTACCCACAATAATTCTTCAAACTGCATCTTAAAGTTAATCATATTATATAAAAAAAATTAATAAATCTGAATTAAATGTTCTAGAAATGCGAATAAAAAAACTACAATACATTTTCTATTCAAAATTGATCATCAACAAACACATTTTAGAAATGAAAATCATAGGCATCCAGGCTTTTGAATAAATATCACAATGTTTATACATTTAAGGCAGCTGTAGTTTCTGTGGTAAGATTAAAATGAACCTCAATTTCTTTACAAACATGTATGTAATTTTAAAGTACTTTCATGGCGTAAAATTTTTTCCCTTCATAAGCATCATTTTGAGATTTTTTAATATAAATTAGGAATTTAAGAGTTATCTGTCCTGGCTGAGGATTGGAGTACCTTAATTCCTGAAATTCACTCCTCCACAATGTCACTATCTGAATCTTCTTGGTATGCCGCATTCAGAAAGTGACATTTAGGTCCAGGTCCAGATGACAGTGGTTCTTCACTCTGATGCCTTTTCCATCCAAGGAACCACAGTACACTGGACACATGGGCACAGCAACCAACCAGTCTTGCTCCAATTTTGCATGTACAGTACCAACCACAAATGGCCTCTACACTCTCCTCTCTACCTCTATATTTTATCCAAAGTGTGTGAAGAACATTTCTAGAATGGCGAGACTGAATCTTAACTCTCAAAAGATTTGGAAAATCATGGCATACCATAACTTCATAGCTGCCTTCATCTTTTAAATGTTCTCGTGTGTAATTCTCTGCATGTTTGACTTGATAAATACCTAATGTCAGGGAGCGTAGGTCATCGAGTGAAAGGACAGGAAAATCAGCAAGTTCAGAGGATGCATCGATAGCTGAATATACAGCACGGCGAGTCAACAGCTTATTTTCTTGAACAAGAACCTGGACTTCATTGGATTTCTGTGACCTTTCTAGCATTTTGATGGCAACACTTTCAGTCTCAGGGTCCATGCTACCAAGACAAGGCCTGAAACAGTTACATAGTGCACATACGATTCTAACAAAATCCCCAACCTGTGGAAGTAGCTTGTTAGGAATAACTTTGTCCAGTAGTCTCCACTGTTTAAGTCTGCCATTAGCACTCTCAACTACCCATCTTACTTTAGTGACCATTCTTGAGAGGTTGGCTTCCGTAGTTGTATGTTGCTTTTCTCCCCTTTGCAGATAGAATGGCATGTGGACTTTCAATCCAATATCTTCCATAAAGGTCACTGCATCTCTGAACCCTCTGTCAACTACGACCACATCATCTTCTTTCAACCATACTGGAGCAAAAAAAAATATCAATGTTATTACTTTTATTATATCTTGACTTCCACGAACTTGGGTCTATTGAAAAGACATACTTGTATTTCAAATCTGTAACAGTAAACATACCTTGAATGTTTTCTGCATTTTGAGAATACATATGCTTTGTTATGCTGGCATCATTGTTGTGACAATCTGCCACATATGGTCCCATAACACTTAAAATGTACCCATCAGAGGCCACAACCATCATAGGTTTCACTAAAGGACGGTTTTTATGGAGACTGTATGAAAGGCGCTGAAATTCGTAGTCATAGCTCTTTTGGATGTATATATATGTACCATCCAAGATGATAACAGCTTGATCTTCCTCAGTGGTGAAAAGCTTTCGGGCAATTGGAGTTGTATGATGCTGAGAGAATTCCTGATGACTTATATGTTGGAATCCAAGATGTTTTGGCACAAAATTCTGCATGAGAGCCTCTCTTACTGATGGAATTATTCTTTGAATCTGATATACAGAAAGCTTGAAGATTGTGGAAAGTATTGTGTTGGGAAGGCCAGTGCGGAGTTTTGTCAGGAATACAGCAAGACAAGTTCTCTTGGTACGGCTGGAATTGTTCCTTATATTCTTTAATTCATGAACAAGTTCTGCAAATTGCTCTTTTCTCAAGCCAGTGAGACACAAATAGTCTTCTTCACTCAGAAGAGATGGTACATCAAAGTTGAGGTAAGTTGCAGATTTGATGGTACTTCTAAGGCTAGATAAAAGCTTGCATATGTCAGTTCTTGATAGTTGTTCTTCATCTTTTGTTGTCGTTAGTCCTGAGAGTGCATCTTTATTTAGGTAGCCATCTTCAACATGCATCTTGCAACATCTGCTGTCATCATTGATGAAGATTCCCGTTTCAACAAAAGCTTGTACAATGGAGGACGCTGGGATATTTATAAGGCGGTTTCTGTTAGAGTATGGCTTTCTGCAAATGACACATTTTCTGTGACCTTTTGGCGTTGATGTTATGGGAAGGCATATTGATTTTGGACTTTTTAATGAAGGATTTGAATCTGAGTTACACGTGGGCAGAGGTGGGAAGTATTCTGGATCACTGCATATTAGAGTACATGTATTTGAGGCACCAACAACTGTTCGTTTGCGAGAAAAGGATTGGTAACATTTATGACAAACTACATCCTCCTTAAGTACAGCTCTCCCTAGTCGCCGCTCTGTTTCCTTTATCAGCGGTTGCGTTCTAACGTGCCTCCTTGACTCAGATCCACCGCAACTTCTCTGATGACACCAGCAACAGTCGTATGCTTTAGGCATGATGAGAAAGGTTGCTCCTGAAATCAAAATTTAAAAATATAGTGGTAAAAAATTGTTATAAGTTAATTTTCAAAGATATTTTCTGTATTT